ATCTCTTTAGCATAGTGTCAATGACAGTTAGAAATCTAACGGCGCGTTTCCACTACCCACTAAAGCTAATCATAATACCAAGCCAACTGAATTGAGCAATGGTGAGATTGTTGCTTATAAATTCAACTTGTATTTGTTACAGAAATACAAGTTGTGTTATTTCTTCTTTAAAAACGTGCACAGATATTCTATAAATGTCACTTTCTCGGTGTGTATTAATATTGCAGTTAGCTGAAAAGCGAACACAGGTGCTTTTCAGAACTGACCGGAACTATCTGTTTCTGAACCATTTGGATAATCACCAGGACAACAAGTGAGTGAAGCGGCTAGGTGTTGTGTGGTAGAGGAGGTGCGTTATATACAGGCTAAAATACCTCTCAGTGTCCTGCTCTCCTCTGCAGACCTCTGTTGAAAAGTAGCTGTGGAGGAGACACACCACCACCGAGCTCAGATGGAGGGTGAGGGACAGGGCGGAGAGCACCGTGGACACCGGCAGCAGGACGGCCCAGATAGGAGCGGGGATCAACCAGGAGGTGGACGGGGGAGACTCCTTCACTGCCGCCTGTTGAGACTGAAGCTGGAAAATCAAAATGACCGATAAAACAGACATGATGGCCGATAAAATCCCCAGTAGAGACAGAACTATGAGGGACCGCTGGCTGTACTGGAGCGTCATCTTTTATCCTCAAATGCAGGCGCTTTCTCCAGAGAATAAATGTTCGGACTACTTTAAATACACTTCTCCGGCGATCCTAAACTCCCCAAAAGTGCGCAGGCATTTCAGTGCGAATAAAAAGTATTTCTCGGTCCTTTCGGGATGAATGGTTCCCTCTGCAGCATGGATTTTTGCAGTAGTTTGCTGTTGTGGTAGAGCGCCCGCTGCTCAGTCTGAGCATGTGATGTGCTTTAAATCCCCAGATTATAAACTTCGCAACAACAATGGACTTTTTCCTCTTGGATCCTCGGAAACAATGTGTCGACGCGCTGCTGGGAAAGGGAGAGCTCACTGACCAAAGTAAAAACACCGTGACAGAACAAAGGACATTTAAACAGTGCAGTCCCCCCTACACACTTTTACCAAATTAAAGTGACTTTTTATAATGTGAGAAGTGGAGAAATGCATACTTAAAGCTTTAACTTTTAGGGCATTCTCCAAAAGAAAAACAGACCTGAAAATGTAGACTACATGTTTATTATTATATCTTTATTAAACAAGGACTGTGCATAAAATACAATGATCTCAAAAAGACAAAAAGAAGAGATGCCAGATTATAGCCAAAAGCTAATTTCCATCAATCCCTGCAGGTACACACATAACAACATTAAAACATTTCCTAGTTCCTTTCACACTAATAATTAAAACAGATCATAATACAGATTTATAAAATATCAATAGTACATTTATTTCCTGGGCTAATAGATTAGTCTACTTCTTATGATGTGATGTCACCTCCAAGTGATTACAAATATTTATTAGCTCATTTCAACAGGGCCAATTAATTGCCTGCTCATACAAACACTCAAATAATTGACCTTAACTTCAAAAGCTAAATCAAATGTGACTCCAAGTCCCGATAGTCCTTACGTTTTTCCTCTGCAAGATGATTCCGCGGCAGGTGTGCATTTCAACTAACTCTTGAGGAATTTGAAGCAGCAGGGGCTACCTTAGCAGACCCTCATCATTGCAGAATACCCCTTGTATTCCTCCTGCAGCTCCTCTGACTCTCTGAATCTAATTATCTTTTCAACAGTTGCCACGGAAACAAGCACAATTTATCATGGGGATGCACTTTTTCCCCCTTGCATCCACTTATTTTACAAAAAAACAGCTGTCACCTTTGCTTTTATTTGCACATTGCAACCTTGTGAAAGTTACTTGTCCAGCCTGAGTTCATAGCATTGATATTTAAAATTAACTCCATTTTCTTTTCACATACCGCTGCTGGACCGCAAACACCTTAAAGTCTGTGACCTGTGTTACAGAGGCCTTATTGTTCTGTTAAAGTTTGGGGTTTGGTGAAGGGGGGGAGGGGGTAGTAAAGGTGTAGCCATTATTCTGTTGAGATGTAGATAAGACTGTAGCTATAAAGGTACACAATGTGAACAATTGCTCTCACACATGTACACTGACCATGGAGGCTATTTCTGAATTCGACAGCCTCACCACATGCTCTAAAAGGACCGTGGCTGATCTTGTCGAAAGCAGAAGTGAGAAGTTTCAGGAAAAAGAAAAAAAAAATGGACTTGACACGGAAAGTTCTCAAAGGCACCTTTCCACATCTCTGCTGCATTATTCATTTTAAGTAACTGGTTGTTATTCCTTCCTTCAGCTTGACGGAGCTCTCACTTGTTTAGAGTAAATGTACGAAGATACATGCGTAAACAGCACACTGAGGAAAGGTATAATTTCCCCTAAGCTGCGGGTAATTATTGCTGTATTTACAGATGTGGGTTGGCACTATTCCCTGTTGGATTGATGGGGCCCACGCAGGTGAATCCTGGAGGTAAAGGCTACAGCAGTCTGCGGGGATGTTGCTAAGTATTGCATCATGATGCTCAGTTTAGGTAGCCTCTTGGGAAAGTGTGTGTGTTTGTGTCTCTGTGTTTTTTCACTGTGCGTGTGAGAGAGCTGTTATCCACACTTAAACAGATGATCTGTATTAGCACATTTGTTGCTATATTATTTTTAGGAGCACATTGTGTCGCATCCCAAAAATAGTCAATAATGCAGCTCATGCAGTGATGCAGTTATTAATATATCTATTAAGCTGACATGTGTCTGTTTTCCAATAATGTTGTGGCGTGTAAGTGTCTCAGCTTTGGTGGGCTTTTTATTCCTCCTTTTTTTACTTTACACTGTCACCCCACTGTATGTCTTTATTCATACACAGGAAAAGCTAATACACACATAATAAAAGCAAGGTGGACTATGCATCAGTTAGGGCACAAACCACTCAAACAGAAATGTGGTAGCCTGTACAACAGTTGTGTTCATGGTTAGGCCCTGTGTTTAGTAGGTAAACACAATAGTCAAACCTGTACGATATAGCATTGTAATATTGCAGCCTTGCCTCTTATGCTGCCCCCCTTTGAAGCTCATGTTAAGTGTATGCCGAGACATCAGAGTCGTTGAATTCACTTTTGGTTGTATTGGGGCTGTAACTTGGGGTGGTGTTGTAATGAATTAGTCTCATCCAGTAGTGTATGTTCAGAGGTGGCTAAATCACATAATTAGTTTCAGTTTACAGCTTTATTTGTGTTCAGTTTATTTACCTGATGAAACTGAGATACTAAACACACGTCACCTACATAATCTGTAGGGATTTGGTGAATTGCCTGAGGACATTTTATTGGAGTGACTGTTTGACAATTATGTGAACGTTCCTCCCTCGTAGAAGGTCTATTATGCCAGAAGGCCACTCTGATATAGGCTACTTTGACGGACACATGTTTTTTCTGCATTTTAAAAATATATCATTATGATCCATTGATCTAGATTATATGCATACATTAATGCACACAATAAACATTATTTTGTATTACAGCTGACTTTTATTCCTTATGTTATTCCTCTATTTCATTCCATTGCAATGTAAATACTGTTATATTTTACTGTTATATTTTACTATATTTTTTTAATTATTTTTAATATTTGTCTAGTTCTCTGTGTTAAATTCCTCGTACGTGTAAACCTACCCGGTAATAAACCTGTTTCTGATTCTGATTAATGTGCACCAACTTTAAAAAAAAACCTGTTTTGGAACAATCTGTTGCCAATCAACTGTTTTGATTCTCTAACTTAACTGGGACTTTCAGATTGTTAAATTAAGAGGTCATAAATCAGGGGAGTAAACGAGAAAAAAGGTTCTGTTGCATAAAAATTACATTAATGTTCTGTCTTTTCACATCATTCACATACAGCAAGCATGTCAAGGATTGTAGCCTCAACCTGGGTCCATTCACTTTCATCTGCAGACACTAAACACTCTCATCCTATAGGCTCCTTTAATCACCAACACCCAAAAGACACAAAATGTCCTCTTGAATTTAGAAACCGTTGTTGAATTAGGGAATTAGGAAAAAGAGCTTCCCCCCAATCCTAAATAATGTTTATGGATTGATTTTATTTAAGACGTTTTGAAGCTTTAAGGAAATCAACTATGTCAACTAATGGTTTCCAAAATGCGGTCATGGAGCCTCTGACAGTCAAAGAGGGAGCTTCTGTTCCTGTCAGCCAGTCGTATTTTAATTGCACATTTACAATTTTCATGCATGTCTTTACAATTCTTTTTACTGTAGGCCTATGTGGTTTTGCAGAAATGTTTACACCTTTCCTTTAAACAGTAAAACAAAGACATAGCAAATCACGTATCGCAATACAACAGTACTTTCAACTGGGGCCCACTTTCAGAATCAGAATATATTTGTTGTCATCATACAAACTTATAGTATGGTGACAATAAAGATATTCATATAATTTATTTTTCATCTCTCAATGCAATAATAAAAATAGACAGAAATTAATTAATTAAAAAAGTGTTAAAAGTAAAGGATGCATCAATGACAATAAAATGCAATACAATGAAATGTGTACATATTCACATGTGCAAAACTGCACAAATGTGGATATATCCGTGTGTTCATAAATTGATGCTAAAAGTAACCAAAGATGCTAACATAATATAGCCATACATATTTTTGTATATTCACCTCTTCACCATCCAGTGATTAAATTATTATTATTGTTATCTTTTTGTTTAAAGAGGCTAATCGGGACACAATCTTACCAAATGTTTACTCTGCTCTGCAACGTGGATCTTATCCACAGCATTATAAAACCCGGAGTGTGTGTATGTACCGTAGGTGTAACTTCTGCTGTGAACTCGCTGTCAGCCTGCAGTGAGTGCTGGTGCTTCTGGAGGAGCAGGGGGGCGGAGGAGTGTCCAATGGCGGGCGGAGGAGGCGGGGAGAGATGACAGCGAGAGGCGGGCTGCAGCAGCCAGCTGTTGGAGAGCAGCTGAACCATCCGCTACTACTGCACCAGGTGATTGTATCTCTGCATCAGCGCAAGACCACAACACTTCAGTAAGACATTTTATTTTATTTTCGACTTTTCCTTTTTGTTTTGTCTCGAGCCAGTGGGGGAATCTCCGAGGTGAACAAGAGGAGATCGATAGCAGGTGAGAAGAGATGTTTTTCTGCTTCTTTATTAAAGCTTGTGCGTTTAGTTTGTTAGGATGTTATTAAATCTTCCAGTGTGCACATATTTATGCAATATATGAGTAAAGTTACCTGTTTGCTGTGTATTTGAAAGCAGTGTATAGATGAGGCTATATTAGACAGGGATGCTTGGCAACTCGGAGACAGACAGGCTATTCTTAAACGGTCTATTTTGAATGACGTCAGCAATTTATCAGGCCTAATTATCCAGTATCATTTTTTATGCTATGTATTTTTACAGTTTTTATTTTGAGCGTGAAAAAGCCTGCCTTGCATACTGAATTATTTGTTAATAGAGACATCCCATGGCTCTTCCATCCTTCTCATCCCTTCAACCTGTTGCCTTTCCAATCACTTCACTGATCACTTCAAAATATACATGGATTATTGTTATGTTTTGAGTGTGATATCATTCAAAATATCACTTATTTAATTTCCTTTATTGTCTGTCTGTGTTTCACTCAAATGAGCAGACGTTACGTTTCCTTCTGTCAGTTCCCTTTAAGGTGTGGTTCATCTTCAGTGGAACAACTTTTAAAAGTCATGAAAACATTTTTTTCTTTCTATTCATAGAAAGATCCAATGTTCTGCTTGGTACTATTGCTATTCTGGTAATATCAAGGCAATTCAATTATCTGCTGGTAAAATTAGACAAATATTTCCTCACCATTACTCAGCAAAGACCCAATGAGTGCATGAACTGTCTGACCCTGAAGATGACACACATAGAAACACCCGTTATTTACTTATCATTATGTATTGATGCTTTAATCAAAATGATATTCCTTAGCTTTGAACAAAACACTCAGTAGTAAAAGAAGAGTTACACTATTGGCTTATTATTATTATTATTATAGTATGTGTCAGTTTTTATTAGTCACAACCTTTGGTAATTGGCTTTTCTGACAGGAATTCTGTATTGTTTCATGTGAAATTAGGTTCCAGTTTTGGTCCTGGTTTCACATTTGACCAGTTTAACACGGGACAGTGATGTGACTAACACAGGCATGACTAAAATGACTTAAGCAGAAGAAACAAGGCTCGGTTATGTGTCATACACACAAATGTTGCTGCTGCAGAGTTCATTATATCGCTGTAGCGCAGCAGTCAAACAGCTTCTGCTTTGATTGCTTTCATAGTATGATCAATACACATATGAAACAAATATTTCACAGCAGCAGCAGCAGGAACACAGCGGTTCACAAACACACTTAGAGTGTTAACTACATTGTTTATTGTTGCTGTTTTTTTACACTACAACAGCTAAACTCCAAATATTCCTTTGTGATGGACAACATGTGATTGGCACTTATAGGAATCTGCTTTTCTATCATAAGCCATGAGCTTCTTTGGTTCATCTGCGTACACGTGTTTAGCATGTTTTTGAAACATTATCAAGCCATCATGCACTAAATGACTCATGGAAAGAAAACCGTTGAAGCAGAACCCCCAATACTCTACAAATGCCCGACTTATTTCCCTTCTCATTCATGCGTACAGTTCACTGCAGCAAGAAAACCCACCAGTGCAATGCATTAACGTGATCTGATTAAACCTATTAAAGTGATCATGTCTGTTGATGCACAAGCGTTTAGTTTTCTTTGCATGTGCGTTGTTGTCCCAGTGAGTTCCCCGGTGATCAGCCAGAAGCTCCCAGGGTGTGAAGCTGCAGGGCGACTGTGTGCTGCTGAGCTCAGTTTTTTCCACTCTCTCGCCTCTGGGAAGGCGTCTGACAAAGGTCTTATCTATCCCTATAGAGGCCTGAGACCCAGGGGCAAGTGTTCATTTGTGCAATTATTGCACAATTACAGGACGCAAAGCGATTCTGTTTTACATCTTATCATAGCACTAGCTGACATGTTTTAGAAAAGAAAGATCTGATACTTCTTTCACTCTCCAAATGTTTTCAGGGATGACACGATCAGGTGTTGACCTTAGAGAGTCACAGACAGAAGGTGTGTTTGGTGCATTCACAGACCTCAAACGACAGTTGTGCTGCGGGAAATCATCCAGAATTAGCTGATGTGTGAGGCTCAGCCAGTCCTTTTCCTGCCTGTCTCGACCTTTAGGCCTTCGACAAACCTACTAAACCACATACAGTTCTATAGCTAACTCCACGTTTGGCTGGAGGTGTAGCTATATTTATACAGCTAGTCATGTGTTTTAACGGGGCTGTGATCGTGGTCGTTTGGATGTAGGAGAGGAACTTTCTGTAAAACCCTGAGATAATGATCTTTCTGCCCTGTTTAGAACACATGTCCCACTTCCCTCTCTTCTCAGCATGAGCCGGCCTTGATATGAGGATAAATGGTCTCATGTCTGAGAGACAGACCTTGTGTGACATTCATTTTTTTTTAGTTTGGCTGAAAGTGTTAGTAAGTCCAACCAATACTGGTTTTTCTGGTCCTTTCATTATAAGTTAGAGCCATTTGTCCTCAGCATGCCTTGTTTTACCGTCCAGACAGCGCCAATGATGGGTTTATCTGCTGCTGTCAGTGTTGAGGTGTGTCTGGTCTCTGCTGCAAATTCAGCACAGTGGATAATGCAGGACTTTATAAGGTAATAATTAGGGCAAAGAGGTGGATTCCTCTCGAAAATGCCCCAGATGCCTGTGTGGCAAGCTTACATTGAGGGACAGCGGGCACTTGAGGGGTCGTGGGAACACAGGAGCCATATCCGCTCAGGCACCATCAGGAGGGACAGGGGACTAAATATAGAAAAGTCCAATACATGTTCAGTATTAGGGGGAAAACCAGTGAAAACTGCTCTGGGTTTTGGAGAAGCACTGTCAGGTCAGAGGAGTCAGACCACCACTTAGCATAGTCGTATTACTAACAGTAGCCTGCACAAGTAATCCAGACAGCTTATTCAAATATGCATTTAGGTTTAGTGTTTATGATTTAGCATCAATGTTTTATGGCTGTCTCCCATAATGCAAACAATTTCAGAGAAAACTAAATGCTGAGTTTACATTTCTCTATAGTGTCCAGCTCTATACAGTCCTACAGGGGCAGGGACAGGAGCGGGGGTTTTTAGACCAAGAAAAAAAGGAAAAACAGCGGTTGTGCATTGGACATTCTCAAGCCAACCACAATCCATCCATGTCTTTGCCTTCTGCTTGTTTTTTTCTGACCATGCATGAGAGAGGAGTGGGTGGTTTCTAGCTTCAGCCATCATTCAAAAACACACCGTTTTCCTTTTACTGTTTGGTTTTAGCTATTGCCTGCTGAACCTTTAAAAGGAGCTGTGGACTGTATTTTTAACCCTGTCTCTTGGGGCTGTGCGGTGCAGTGGAGTCGTGCTGCTGGCCCAGGGGTAACCCAGACTGCGGGGGTGTCAGACTGTGTGGACTGCTGGCCCGGCAAGGGCCGCTCTAACTTTAGACCGCATCGCCTCATGGTGGTATAAATAAACACCCTGCCCTTACCACGGGGAAAGGGACTTGAGTCGCTTAAAACAAATGAATGCCACTTTCTCACAAGAATTTTATGACATGTATTATGGCTTATTTTATATTCAAAATGTAGATGCATACATGCAGAAGAATAAACAGTTAGTTCAATTGCCATTGCGTTCAAATGTTAACCTCAAGAAATCCTTTTAACATAAGGATTTGTTTGTGTTGTGTTTGAAATCAGATGTATTTGTTGATGTTAAATGCAGATGAACAATAACATATTTCTTTCTGCTACTCTAACATTGTCATGTTTTATTTTACAGGTGTCAAAGTGTGCAGCAGAACGGCAGAAAAAATGGGAAGAAAGAAAATACAAATTTCTCGTATTCTGGACCAGAGAAATAGACAGGTGGGCATTATTTCATTTATCATAAGATTTTCTTTATATGTACGACATATGTACAAAGTTTGCCTGCGACAGTCATATTTTTAGCGGGTAATTTCAAGGCGTGTTCGGACAGCTGTAAATACATTCTTGCACATTTAAAAATAATAGCAATTCAGGAATGCACTTCTTCTGTTTTTGTTCTGTTGCATTATGTCCTGTTTTTTGTATGTAGCTATGACCCTTGATTAAATGAATTAGTTCCTAATAGTGCAAAGAGGGTGGAACAGCTGGAACAATCAGATGGGATGATGTAGCATTTTACCATTTTTGCAGCATGCATGCTCTAACTTGCATATTGATGCAACATGAGTGAAGAATTAGAATTGAACATTTCCTGTACATTTCCAAAAATCTGAAAGGTCTTACAGTGACAGTGAGATTTTGTTCAATGCTAAAATGTCAGTAATATGCTCTTTAACACTATACAAACTAAACCAACCACTTTAACAGAGTAACATTGAAGTTGAACATAAGTGTAAAGCTTTTTAAATAAGTGTAAAGACAGAGTCGACTGTACATTAGAGGAAGTTCTTTTTGTATCGGTTTAATGGAAGATGAATCTGATAAGGGAGATTATATATGCAGTGTGAAATGTCGATGTCAGGGTCTGAAGTTGCAGACTGTGTATGAGTCACCACACAGACTGAGGTAATGTCACGATGTGACAGAAAATATCATATCATAGACGTGGCCTGTTCATATGTTCATTAGTATATATCGAACACACACAATGAATCCGTGTAGACAAGGAGAATATTTTATTAAATATTGCCCAGAGTACTGGCAAATACAATATGTTTATCTGATCTTCAGGACTGAATGTCTTTTGGTGATATGGATAATTTATTGGGGATTACTTTTTTCTTATCTGTATTAAGGCTCTGATGATAGACAGTTGCTGTATGCTGTACAGATTGTAAACCCTTCATGGACAAACTTGTGATTTTTGGCACTATAAATATACCCACTTGTCAACACCTTCAGTATTTGCTAGCAATCAGTTTGGATTTTTGTGTTTGGCTTTTCCATTTAAAAAAGCAAACTTGCTGTTTTAACTATAATTAAGAAGTATTATTTTTATACAAGATCAAGATTACATTTATTAATCTTACAACACTTATTATCTGGCAGCGAATCCAAGTTGTACAAAAATATTATTATTATGATTTCATTTGTCCATTCTGCTACAACCCACTCTGGCTCTATTTATTATTAATTCCTGCAGAAATATTTAAGCACGTGCGTACTAAATTATTTAGACAATTTGACTTGATTGATTTAACAACCTACATTTGACATCTTCCTCTTAATGTTTAGTAATTGGCTGAAGTTAAAGGGAATATGACCCCAACCACGGTGTGTTTTTTTAGGTGACTTTCACCAAGCGTAAGTTTGGTCTGATGAAGAAGGCGTACGAGCTGAGTGTGCTGTGTGACTGTGAGATCGCCCTGATCATCTTCAACAGCACCAACCGTCTGTTCCAGTACGCCAGCACAGACATGGACAAAGTGCTTCTCAAGTACACGGAGTACAGCGAGCCGCACGAGAGTCGCACCAACACGGACATACTGGAGGTACTGTGCACGCTGCTATTAAAGGAGATGACGGAGAAGCATTATTCAATACAAAATAATACATTGGTTCAGAGCAGGGAGCTTTAACATTGCATTCAGGTTTCAAATGCATACAAAGATCCTTTATATGTTGCCTTTCTAAGTCTTCCTGATAACATTGTGGGTAATTTTCCACATGCACTTTCTCTTCTGTTTCAGACTCTGCGCAGGAAAGGCCTCGGTCTGGAAGCCTCAGAGCTGGAGAGTGAGGAGAGCATGCAGGTGGCTGCAGACAGATATCCTCTCAGCGAGGGCATGGATCTCTCTGTGGCTCGCCAACGCTTCTATGTCAGTCCACACACACTTCTGCAATTGCACATTCACCACAAACACACACACACACACACACACACACACACACACACACACACACACACACACACACGCATGCTGAGGTGATCTGTGGTTGAAATTAATTCTTATAATTTTAATGAAATAAAAAAGGTAAAACGTTAAAATGTCCAAAGATACAATAAGATATTGACACTTTTCCTAATTTTTGGACAGGTTTTTGATCTTAATTCTTTGGCTGTTTTTATACATGGTTGTTATTCTCCAGGCTCCGTCGCTCCTCTCCCCGGAGGCCCAGTTTCTGGTGTCTGCAGGTTGTGAGAACGGCTTTCCTAACTCCTCTGGATCCGGCATGGCGTCCCACAGACCCTCTGGCTTTAAATCTCTGGGCTGCAGACCGGGCGCTGCCAGTCCTGCTGTGCCGCACGCACACACTGCATTCATGTCTCCACACTCAGGTGAGCAGAGTGCTATGTAACATTACAGAATGATTTTAATAACAAGGTTGAAGATTTGAAGGACAACCAAATGATTAATGCAATTATACTCATTTACAATTGCACAATCTTACTTCTTTGTGACTGACTGATTAAAGAGTTTAATTACAAAATTAAATGTAAATTATGTGAAAAATGTGGGGAAAAAGGATCGATGTTATTAAAATAAAACTCCCAAATAAAAGGAAAAAAAATGTTCTATATAAAAAAATTGCAGTTCACAGCTATTGATTTTCAAATTGTCAATATCTAACTTAATAATAAAATGTTTAACATATCATTTTCACCAAAAAAGTAGAAAGCATGATCATTGATTTAAAGCTCCTCTAAGTCTTGTTCAAAATTGCTGTACAATTCTTATGTGAGCTGTCAAACACTGCACAGCTGGCTGAGATCACACAGGAAGTGTGTGTGCGTGTGCGTGTGCGTGTGCGTGTGTGAGTGTGTGTATGCGCACTATGGCACACGTGCAGTTGGTCTGTTTTATGAAACTGGCCCTACACCAGCGGCTGCAACCAGTTCTGTAGTTTCTGTACAGAACGTATCACACCTGCCAGTCATTACAGCCTCTTTTAATACTAACACCCATAGCTAACACCGTGATTCACATTAGACACCGATCATTAACAGCCTTTGTGTTTTAAGATGTATTATTTCTATTATTTTAATATATGACACTGATTTCTGTGATTGCTTAGAAATGGATTCTGTCAAGTCATCAATGCACTAATAATATATTCAAATGTTAACATAAGCCTTAGTCTTATAAAACATCTACCAATTGTAAGCTCAAACTAAAAGAAGAAGTTCATTTTTATCACACTTTTGGTGACAGGAACAGAGCGGGGGGGAAGAATGTATAACAGAGAATAAATTATTCTTCTGTGAGTGAAACAAGATCACATCTCTTTTCACTTCCTGCTCCTTTCTTTTGCCGTGTAGGTATCGGCTACTCCGTGTTCTCCCATGGTAACCTGAATCGAGCTCTGGACATGAAGAGCCCTCCTCCTGTGAACCTGGGCAGTGACAACCTGCGGGGGGATGCTGCTAACGTGGGGCTGGGGGCCACGAGAGCTAACCACAACTCTGTAAGAAGCTGTTACTATCCAGCCTGCACTTACAGTAAATGTGTCATGCTGTCACTCTCCCCACAAACTTGAGATTTTTGGTTTGATTCTTCTCTTTCCCTGTTGGTCAGAGGGGCGTCTTGTACCAGGGCCTGCACAGCGGCAGCTCCATGGTAGCCATGGGCAAGGCAGGCCTGTTGGGTCACAGTTTGGGAGGGTATGGCCTCCCTTCTCCGGGGGTCTCTGGTACGTCTTCTGTGAATCATCTATTCTATGGTGGTTGCTTTAATTGGTTAGAGTTAGATGAGAGGATTGATGCACCCTCATATGTGTCTGTTAAAGGTCAAGCTACAGCCAGCAACTCTGTAGCTTAGCTTAGCATAAACACTGTAAACAGGGGAATCAGCTAGCCTGGATCTGTCCAAAAGATACAAAATCTGCCTACCAGCACATATACAAAATATAAAAGTTGTGGTTTTACCAAAAGTTGTGGTTTTACCAGGAGTTTTGTGCAGGACTATTCTTTATCGGCTGCTGTGAGCTCTTCAAATCTCTGCTTGTTGACACCAAACTTCAGTGATTTCACCAACCAGAAGTTACTACATTCGTCCAAATAAATATGTTCCTGCGCATAACCGCAGATCGAATTGATTAAACAATTGATTCAATTGAAATATATATATAATAACTACCAGGTTATGCACATTCTAAACTACCGAATTCCCCATGTTCCAGTGTTTATGCCAATCTAAAATAACCTGCGCTAAGTGTCAATCTTCTCTTCTGACTCTCTACAAACCTGTATTTCCTTAAACGTTGAAACATTTTCTTGTAGTGAAAATATACTATCTTGTCATTCACTGATCTTGGTTTATTATAATCCAGGTCTGTGTCCTCCTTTTCATCATCTTTTAATTCCTACCTCTCTTTTCAGAGTACAGCCAACCTGGTTTTTATCACTCCGTCAGTCTGCAGCGAGGATCAGTGAACCCCTGGCAGTCGCCTCAGGAGCCCCATATAAACCCAGGGTGAGGATATTAATGCATGATATGGTACCTCTCTGACTCTGAGGATAAAATATGGCAGGAGGTTGAATCGGCACACTGTCCTTTTTGCTCTGATAAAGATTTTTTTATTTACTTGTTTTCTGTCCAATGTTTTGATCAATCAGATCATCATTCTTGTGCAAAATTACACAAACATCACATTTAATATACACATCTCAATATGATGTCAATCATCAGCCCAAGGCATGTAGTAACTAAGTAATCGTAAAAAAAATGCTTTCTGCTGTGACCACACAATGGTAAACAATATGGCCATCAGTAAGACAAAGTAAAAAAAATAAACAAAAAAGTGAAAAACATATAAAAAAAACAACATAATGCAATCAATTGTCATCTGATACAATTGCAGAATCGATGTTTCAACTCTGACATTTGTTGTGTCTTGTTGTTTCCAGGATGTCCAGTGGGGGGTGCTCCTTCCCCTCTCAGTCTTGCCCCACCACCTCTCCACATCAGCCCTCCCTCAACCTCAGCATCAAGTTGGAGCGTAGCTCTCCGGAGCACATGTCGTCACCCACCTCCCCTCCTCTGCACCACCTCAGACAGCACTCTCCAATCAGCAACCCCGATTCAGTTCGCCAAACCCCTCAAGAAGCCCGACCGGCCAATGAGACGAAGGAGTTTCCCAAAGCCGGATACCCACAAGATGGAGAGGAAGGAGGGCAGCCGCTCAGGCAATTAGAGATAAGTGATGGGTGGCAGAGATAACTATCTGCTGTCTAACACCATCTCCCATCCAATCAGCTATCTTCCATCACATCCTGTCACACACACACACACACACACACACAACACACACACACACACACACACACACACACACACACACACACACACACACACACACACACACACACACACACACACACACACACACACACACACACACACACACACACACACACACACAGATATAACCCAGAAGGTAGCGAGGTGGGGTCGATTTATCCCCTTCATCCCAGAGAGGACCGCTTCTCTTTGTCTCCTCACTCAGAGCTGGTCTCTCCGGGCCGATGGAGAATCTTTTTTTCTGCGTCACTTGATTGATGCCACGAGGAGACAGATGCATACAGACATTTTGATTTTGGTTTGGTTAGTTTTAGTTTTCTGTGTGGAGCTAGTGTGAATCAAAAATATATTATTTTTTTTGGTTTTCTGTGACTTTGTTGAAGTTAGCTTCAGCGGGACCAGCTGAGTTTACTCCAAAACTGTGTTTGACTGAAGCTGCAGGTGTGAGAATTGGAAATTAGCTGTAAAATTACACAGCACTGCCTTCATGTACTGTAATTATTTCAGGCAAACGCATTAGAGAATTGATTCATCACAGTAGCCAGAATAAACAACTTAGTCTATGTAAAATATATCTTTACACCTTATGCCCCTCTTGTATAAGCTTTAATGTTTGCGCTTTTAACCCAAAATCACTGACATGGTCACCCGACAGAAAAAAATGTCACCCATTACTTCAGCCTTGACCTCTTTTTTAAATACACATGGACATTTTAAGGGATGATGACAATAAGTATGTTTCAAACAATTCTTACAATCCCATTCGCACACTAAAATTGTTTATGAAATTGTCCCTCCAGTATGGATGTTAAAAATTCCCCTTGTATTGATATTCTAATATAAGAAACGAGAGCAAAAACTATCTATTTTAACTGCAGTCTAAAATTTGACCAATTGGCAGCTGCAGAGATCTGAAGACAGAGATCACATGCAGGTATTGCTTCAAATATAAACCTATCCTTACTCTGGGTGTCTCTCAGGGACTTAAATGAAAAAAATGGTCTATGTTAGTTTTTGCGACTGTAAATGTGAATAAGCTAAGTTTTAGTTGTATTTTCCTCCAAATAATTCTAGTTTTATACTATAACTTCACCCCATCAATGGAATAATGGCAATCTAGTTCAACTAAAGACCAAAGTGTTTAAATAGTGTCCCTATGCATTACAATCAACAGCAGCCAAAGACATCATGTGTTTATCTATATTGGGTCTAATTTAATTAAAGTAAGTAATGATCGCTGAAGGGCTATATTTAGTTACTGCCTATAGTTAATATTATTGAGCTTTACTGTGATATTTACAAATATATAATGAATGAGTCATAGACATTTTTTTGTATTATTGAGGTATGTTGTTTTCATTTTATCTGTAAAATTACTTTGCACTGTATTTTTGTGCACTGGATTTATGTGTGTTATAGTTTTGTTCTGCAAATGAAAAAATATACTCAGAACTTTGGTTTGAATGGATTTCCAGTTACTGTCCACAAGGGGTCGTCTTATTTCCACAATTTAGATTTGAATGAGAAAGTGCAAAGCAGAGACTACCAGCCTAAAGTATAGGCAATTCATTATCTAATGAATCTCTTTGACAAGACACAGGTTCAGTGGTTCACCGTAAAGACATTTAACAAAAACATCATGACAAACTGTGCACGATTTATTGGTGGAGGTCTCCAAGTTCGAGAGAGCTGCAGTGGAATTAGTCCTTTAAAAAATGTATGTGGATAAATATCAGCATGAAGAACCAAATGATCAGTATTCTGATGTTTGCCGAATGCCTCTAATAGAACAAAAACAACAATACAATGCAGGAAAAATACAACAAATATGTGTATTTGACATTTGTAGTGATTCTTTTTAAAATAAAAATGGTTTGATTTGTACGTTTAACCTGCTTTTTGTCTTCAAAGGGAATTCATGTTTATCATCTCTCCTCTCCCCGAAAAAAATGGGACTCCGTTGCCACAGTTTTCATTTAATCTGAGGACACATAAAACACCATCCACTGTGTGGCTATCAAGCTTTCATGTGTCCATTTATTTAGTGGCATTCACCTCTGTTCCATCTGCTGAACACACACTCCCTCATTATCATGTCAGGCTGCTCAGCACGCAGCCCTGGAACGAGAGGAACAAGAATGGACAACTTAAAAGCCTGTAGACCTTTATGTCTTCAAATGAAATACATTGGGCACAAAGAGGCTCGTTTCCACAGCTGGATGTCTCACAGTCATCCTGCCAGACTGTTTCCTTACGGAGCATTTCAGCGACCAGCAGAGAGGAGCCTCCTCCGTGTCTCCCAAATGATAGAGGCTCTCACTGGGGTCATGTCTGGTCTGCTCCCCTGAGACCAGGCTGGCCCGGTCTGTAGGGCATGTCTGTGTCCCTCACACACACACAAGGCACACAAATCCCGGTGTCTATAGCAACCACAGTTATGGCTGCCTGACTTGGCCCGCTGCAGTCCTCAGACTGAGGCGGCCTGAGGCCTGCAGCACAGATGCACATAATTAATGTGATTATATAGATATGTCAATCTTGTCACCTCTCAGTACATCAGGCAGCACAAGCTCACACACACACACACACACACACACACACACACACACACACACACACACACACACACACACACACACACACACACACACACACACACACACACACACACACACACACACACACACACACACACACACACACACACACACACACACACACACACACACACACACACACACACACACACACACACACACACACACACACACACACTCCACTGCTGTGCAAGCATCCTTTATAACTCACTCAAACTAGTCGTTAACCTTAAAAAGAAATAAGAAAAATGTTTCCTTTAATTTTTTGGATGTTAAGGAAAAGTAAATACCAATGATGCAGAAGATCCCAATGCTAACCTCAAACTGTACCCCTCAACGGGGTTTAATGTAAGGAAGTACATGAGTAAAGAATTTACTCAAGTGTACTATCTGTTGGTAGTACTTCATTGAGCATATACCTTGTACTTTTACTCTAGTACATTTTGGAAGCAAATATTGAACTACATTTTTCAGACACCTTCAATAAATTGCTTTTCAGCATCAGATTATTTGCTAAAACAAAATATATCATCTAATAAATAAAAACTGAAACCTATGTATAGGTCAATATATCTAGCAGCAGTAAAGTAATTAAAAATGAGCTTCCCTTTACAAGCTGTGATACTCAGTTAATACAAAATCTAAATTCAGTTATTTAAAATATATGATTCTGAAAAGGGCCATTGTGCATAACGAGTACTTTCACTTTTAGTACTTTAGTTATATTTTGATGCCAAGGCTTCTGTTCTTTTACTTAAGCAAAACTTTGTATGCAGGACTTTCACTTGTCACTTTCACATAATATTTGTACAATGAGTATTGCTACTTTTATGCAAGTAACAAATCCAAGTACTTCTATTCTACCGCCACTGCTCCTTAAACATGATATCTAACAGTAACGGACATTTTTACCCTGGAAATGTTCTTTTATGCAAGTACAATTGATGCACATCATCAATGCTAAAACTTAAACAGCCATGCTAATAGATAAAGGGTGCCGGATACTCGTACACTCCGAAATATCTCGACTTGTCTTGTGTTTGTTATATATCTTCCAGTTAAGCAGTCAGTCCTGAAGAGAGAGAAGTGGCCGTCCCTCTCTCAAGTGCAGAACCTTTGTGGCTTCAAAGTGGACGTGGAAGTCAAATGATATCACCAATAAATCACGTCAGCTTTCAGACAGAGCCTCTCCAGCCTCGCTCCAAAGAAAGGTCACATTCCTCCACTGATGTTTCACGACTGCCATGTAAATCTGAATGTTTTGATAATGTCATAAAGCTTATAAATCTAGTTTGGATGGAGAATGGAGAGGATTAGGAAGATTGGCAGAAAAGTACAGTTCTTGTGGCAAAGTTGAGCATCCAAGAGCAATATTTTTTCCAATACGGTTGAGGGGCATCAGGTTCATAGTAATTATCAGTGATTAAAGAATGATCTTCTCAGGAGGGTGGGGGTCAGAGGTCAGGACCCTTCTCAGCGGCGAGACACTCCATTGACATGCACGATGGCTTTTGTCAATTGCCGCACCGACTTCTAAAAAGGAAAGGTTTTATCCGCAGTATCTCCCACGCTCCTCGAGGGAAGGCAGAATTAAGTGGGAATATCAAACTGACATGTGACTGAAAATAATAAATTATTTTTATTGAGCCATACTAACAAAACAGCCAAAAGTTTGCACACCATGCATTCAGAACTTCTCAAAAAAGCAACATTTCCATATGAAGTTCACAGTATATTGATTTCAGAGCGTTCCATTCAAATATACTAACTAGAAAAAGCACAATCAAAATGAGAAATTGCCACAAACAGAATACATGAGTGAACAGATTTAAATCATCTGTATCATTTCTAAAAAAAAAAAAAACTAAAAAATATATATTTTGTGAGGCAATGTATTATAAATAAATAAATAAAAGCCACTGATGCAAAACTGGTTTAAAGTAAGCTACATCACATGGATTGGCAATAAAAAAGAACAATAAACCTAAAATGAATGCATCTAATTAAGACACTGCAACTAAAATGTTGCCATTGTGTAGTGGTTTGAAATGAATGGGAAAAACAGAAATGAGTTACGACTGTTAATATCTAAATACTTAAGATCAAGGAGACAGGAGATTTTTAAATTGATTTAAAATCCCTAAACTCCCAGGCACTTAGGAATACTGAAGAAACTTTTTAGATAAAAGCAACAGCTCTTCAGTTTTTGGCCGATTCACAGCCACAACCACAGTTTGGATTTACATTTAGCTGCGTTTCATTTAATAGGATGGATCAGAAGCTTTACTAGGTATTTGCAATCAAACCGTTACAGCAGAGAAGAGATTAAAAAAACAAAACATTTAGCACTCTTAAATCGGTTTCTTTGGGGGACAAATAGTCCCTCACAAAAATAAAGTCTCATTTACACAGGGATTAAGTACTATTACTTTCCCTGGTACCAATTATAACATGAAATGCAGCATTTAGTGTTGTTTGAAGAACAATTCAGGTAACACTGGCATGGACACATCTGAAAACTTGCAGAAAAATGTTTCGCTTGAATATGTTAGAAGACTATCGGGCAGGGGTCTGTATCATAAAGCAAGATTAGTGTTTTGCAGTATAAGGAACAAAAGCAACAACACTTCACTTTTCTATACAGCTGTTGAAAAAGCCAGAAATATTTTTAAAAAGCCTAATTCTTCATTCAGAGCCATGTTTAAAAAAAAGTATCTTCCTAACTTCTTATCCTATTCTACTTGTGTGCGATGTTACTGAATATTTCCCTTTTCAACCTTTTTGAAAATATCTTGATTAAGATGGCTTCTGTTGCAATGCAGTAACTAATGAGTATCCATAGAAATAAACAAACTAACACTTCTAATTTCCCTGTGGGTGTCTGTGTCATTATAAGTAATTCTCTCATGGTTCTTGTAATGTAATTAAAAACTCTCTTTCACATGAACGCATCTGCAGCTGGATCAATAAACACAGAGCTACCGGAGCCAGATGATAACAAGCTTTATGATTCTGGTTATTAATGATTGTTGATGGTAGACTCAGTGAAGCTAGGTAACCCAGGGACAGCCAGACTAAGCTTAACTTGCTTGGTGATGCAGACCCCAGTGCTCTCTGTACATTTGTGTTATAATACCAGTACCCTGCTGGTGACAAAAAGCCATAAGGGCAACCAGGTAGCCACTTTGGCAACAGACAGTGTTCATCACCCTTCTCCTCAATCAAACTTCGGTTACAGCCACAAACAAGGTGCTTTCTATCTGTGGTTGTGTGTTTTAAACTAATGTCCCCATAGCTTTTGGTATGCCGTTGCACAGGATACCTGCAGACAGGGCTGTGACTGCAGAGCTATGGCACTCCGTCTCCCTCAGTTAGTTCTGCATCAGGTACTGGTGGAAGTAGATGCCGAACAGAGAGCTGATGACCTGGCAGGCCGCCACCCACCACGTCAGGAAGGCGAAGAAACCTCGGAAGAAAAGTGGAGTGAGGACGGAGCGCAGCGCCATGAAGGCCTCTGTCAGGTGGGCAACTGTGGCCTGGACGTCCTCCTCCATGTCGTCCATCCCCTCTTCATCTTCATCGAAACCACCGGGCAGCACGGGCGCTGCTATCGGCAGTATGAGCGCTGGCGTCACCCCGGGGGTCTGATCTGCATCGGCCTTCCACGAGAAGTCCCCTACAAGACCGGTAGAGATCAGTCAATACCGACGCTGGATGTTTTTAATATTTAAACTCCACTGCAGATGCAAATGTCTCAATATTGTTGTATAAATAGTCTTTCATGTTGGGAAATATGCTTCACCACTTGTTCTACAAATAGATGACCACAGCCAGCAGCTAGTTAGATATTCAGGTTATTAACAGCTGCTCTTGCTCAGTGAGTAGGTTACAAAATATACAAGCATCTCAGAAACTCACTAATTAACTTGCTAAATCTTGTTTAATCTTTCTAAAACTAGCGTGTAAATACAGGGGGGTTATGTTCTGGGGGATACTTTGTCCGTAAATTGCTTCTTTTTTTTGTTTTTAGATTGTATCAATCGTCTCATCTAACTCTCCAGAAGAGAGCAAATCATTGCCACAAATCTACACTTGGGGAAAAGTGCAGAACAATAAGATCAAGTGTGGCTTCTTCTTCTTCTTCTTCAATGTAGTGGTAGTTTTGGTGGTGGGGTTATTTTTACTTACCTAGTGATTTAAGAGCAAGTGTGGAGAAGAGGATGAGAAAAACAGGAACCAGATACTGGAGAGTGATCACAGTCAGGTAGCAAAAGATACGAGTGACCTGGAAAAC